CAAGTGGGATTCATCCCAGGAATGCAAGGATGGTTCAACATACGCAAATCAATAAATGTAATCCACCATATCAATAAAGCCAAAAATAAGAATCACATGATCATCTCTATAGATGCAGAAAAAGCCTTCAATAAGGTCCAACACTTAGTCATGATAAGAACTTTACAGAAAATTGGAATAAATGGTCTTTACCTCAATATAATAAAGGCCATTTATGACAAACCAACAGCCAGCATCATACTAAATGGCCAAAAATTGAAAGCCTTTACTTTAAAATCGGGTACAAGACAAGGATGTCCTTTATCACCACTCCTATTTAATATAGTACTGGAAGTACTAGCCAGAGCAATTAGGCAAGAAAGAGAAATAAAAGGGGAAAAGATAGGAAAAGAAGAAGTTAAATTATCATTGTTTGCAGATGACATGATACTCTACATAGAAGACCCCCTAAACTCCATTGAAATACTCTTAGATACAATAAATAAATTCAGTAATGTGGCTGGATACAAAATCAATACTCAGAAATCAATAGCATTCCTATACACGATCAACAAAATTACAGAGAGGGAAATAAGAGAAACTGGACTATTCACATTAGCAAGCAAGAAAATGAAATATTTAGGAATTACTCTTACGAAAGAAGTGAAAGACTTATACAGTGAAAATTATAATACACTGAAAAAGGAAATTGAAGATGATCTCAGAAAATGGAAAGACATCCCTTGCTCATGGATAGGAAGAACAAACATTGTGAAAATGGCCATTCTCCCAAAACTGTTATACAGATTCAATGCAATCCCAATAGAAATACCATCAACATACCTTATAGATCTAGAGAAATCACTCCTAAATTTCATCTGGAACCAGAAGAGACCTAGAATCTCAAAGGCAATTCTAAGCAGCAAAGACAAAGCAGGAGGCATCACAATCCCTGACTTGAAGTTATACTACAAAGCAACAGTAGTAAAATCAACATGGTATTGGAATCAAAACAGAGCTGAAGATCAGTGGAATAGATTAGAAGATACAACCACAACTACGAACACACTCAACCACCTTATCTTTGATAAAGGAGCCAAGCAGGTTCACTGGAAGAACGACAGTCTCTTTAATAAATGGTGCTGGAAAAACTGGCTCTCCATTTGCCGAAAACTAAAGCTAGACCGATGTCTATCACCATGTACTAAATTAAAATCTAAATGGGTCAAAGATCTGAATATTAAAACAGAAACACTAAATCTATTGGAAGACAAAATAGGTAGAAACCTTGGAGACATAGGAGTAGGTAAAGAATTCATGAACAGGACTCAAACCGCACGGGAAATACTTCCCAGAATCAATAACTGGGACCACTTCTTATTAAAAAGTTTCTGCATGTCAAAAGAAATCTCCAGTATAGTGAAAAGAAAACCCACAAACTGGGAAAAGATTTTAGTGAACTCTCTCTCAGACAAGGGCCTCTTGTCTAAAACATATAAAGAATTAAAGAAACTCAGACCTCCGAAATTCAAAGATCCAATCCAAAAATGGGCATCTGAGATGAATATGCAGTTCTCAGATGAAGAAATGCAAATGGCAAATAAATACATGAAAAAATGCTCATCATCATTGGTCATTAGAGAAATGCAAATTAAAACCACACTGAGATTCCATCTCACTCCTGAAAGAATGGCCAGGATCAAGAAAACCGACAACAAATGCTGGAGAGGCTGTGGGGAAAAAGGAACTCTCCTGCACTGCTGGTGGGAGTGTAGACTGGTACAGCCTTTGTGGAGATCTGTCTGGAGATTTCTCAAAAAGTTGGGACTGGAAATCCCATTTATTCCAGCTATTCCACTTCTAGGCATATTCCCAGAAGAACTGAAAGCATCATACCACAGTGATATATGTGCACCTATGTTTATAGCAGCACAATTTGTAATCGCCAGATCTTGGAAACAACCCAAGTGCCCATCAACTGAGGAATGGATAAAAAAGTTGTGGTATTTCTATACAATGGAGTATTATTCAGCTATAAAGAAGGATCACATTGAGATATTTATCAATAAATGGGCGCAGCTTGAGACCATACTCATTAGTGAAATAAATCAATCTCGCATGTGTGAATACCGAATAGTTTCCCTAATGTAAATAATGATTCAAATATATAAAAATATGTGGTAATCATGATTCCCCATTAGGTGGCCTTGAAGCCTTATAAAGTTTTCACTCATTAATTAGAAAGGCTTTATTCTGGGCTTCTTGATATGAAAATATTTGAAGCTAGAGTATATGAAGTTTTATCCAAATATTTCAAGGAAAAATACACTATGGTAACTACTATTAAGTCAGGTTATAAGGTGGTGAAGTACTAGGTTGTTGAAACAGTCATGCTGTGACCTCTATTGTTATATTGTTATGTCCTGTTTTATCTCAATCTCCCCCTTATTGTTTCAAAAAAATTATTTAGTCATTTCTTATGTTTGTCTTAATTAAAGAAAAAATTCAAAAAAAATTAGGATATATAAATAGTAACTCTTTTCGATTTCCTATTAACTTGTTTTGAAGTCCTGTAGTACTCCCACGATCTTGTTTTGACTGATTAGACTCTGTTCCATTCTATATGATAGTATCAAGTTTGAAGACATAGGCAACTACTTTGAAGACAATAAGATTCACTAAGATACCCATTCTGGTTTGACTATTGTCTTCTTTGGAAGTCCTGTAATGTTTACAATGCCTAAGTTTTATTGGTCTTGTTCTCTACTGTTTTGTCCAACTTTATAATATCTAATAAGATAGACAATTCTTTTTAAGGAAACAAGGGACAACGTTGATAACCATTGTTGATAAACTTGTACTCTGTTCTACACCATGTGCTATGTCTATCCTTGGTATTGACTGACAGCTTTGTTTTGCCATATTTGACTGTATTCTTCCCCCCCCCCCAAAGAAAGTAATAAGCACTAAGGAGTACTAAAATCCAAGATGTGTGAATTTTGTTGTAAAAAAGAGAGGGAAAAAAAAAGAAAAAGAGCTCTAACGGATATAACAGCAAGTGTGTTTTGGGGTGTTAAATAGCTGACTTTATCAATGTTTTTGGAACATTGAACACAGCTGTTTGCAGTCTCCCTGTTTGAATGTCCACCTTGTGTTCTTTGATACTGTGATTTGAGGAACTATTTTCAAGAAGATAGTGTGTAATCTACTAGCAGGTGATTTCTTACTGTTATGTTTTTTTGTTTTGTTTTGTTTTTTGTAGTTCTGTATTGCGTGTACCCTTATGCCGCTTTGGTTTGTTTTGTGTTTTTCTCTTTTTCCTCTTAAATAAAAAAAAAAGAACTTCATGAATTGACTATATGTATCTTTTTATAAAACTATTGAAAGAGAAATAAATCCATACATTGAGTGGGCTAAATGTAGTGGGAGTGCTGCGAGGCAACATATTCAAAATAGCCAGCAGTGATGTGTAAAAGGAAAAGTTACATTTGCAATTGATGAAAAGTCATGGCCATATCATCACAGGGAAGCTCAGCAGAATGAACATCTAGAGAATAAAACATCCAGGAACCATGAAACCTTTCCCCTTTGAGGAAGTTTCAATTGTGGTCGCATGAGTTACCTGAGCTTCTCCATCCTCTGTTTAGATCTCCAGCATGACACTTCTATATCTTAAGAGGGAGCCTCTACAGCTGTGTTTTGCTAATGTGTCCATATAGTGACTCTAATGTGGCTCTGAGGCTTTGATCTGGGTTTATCATATGAAGCAGGTTTAACCAAGATACTCAAGAAATTAAATCACCACTTTTTTAACGTCTGAAAAATGGAAAACATTACAGTCAGTCCACACATGGCACAAGAGGGAACAGTTAATGTGGAGATACTTGCTGCTCAATTTAGAAAAACCCAGAGAACCTGTTATCCTGGGACATCTTTATGAGTTGTTGTGGAAGTATTTCCCTGCTTACCTCGGCCCTGAGTAAACACACACACACACACACACACACACACACACACACACACACACCTGAATTATGGTGGGTTATCACATATAGTGGAAGCATCTTCAGATGTTGTTGGTTACATATCTGTGTCAGACTTGGTAGCTAGTGTAGGCAGATTCACTCCTCATGAAACCTTGCAATAAAAGAAAGCATGAGTTGAAGTGAGATTCAGTGATTTTGTAAGTCAAGATTTCCTATTATATAAGGAGAACTCTCCTTTCAAAGTGACTTGAAAAACAAAAAGGATGTAAAAGAATCTTCAGGTAACTGAAATTTTCATGATCAGGTGGTTTAGTTCCCTTTGGCTGGATCTAAAATATTATTAAAAATCCGCATGTGTTAATCACCCAGTTTCTATTCTTCTTTGTTGGTTTCTCACTGAAACACATTTATCCCCTGTATGTATGAAAAGAGAACAGGTTGGACTTCTCTCTGTTTAGAAATAGTCTCTTGTAAGATTGCAATGTTAATTGTGGTGTAGTCGGTTGAACTGACCATGGAATATATCCAAACGGGCACTAATCTCTAATTTTAGGAGCATGAAGACTCAAGGTGATCTAAGGACACTTGGAATCATAAAGTAGGAAAAAAAGAGGGAAACAAGTGAAGTATGATGGGAATGCCATCTCTAGCCACTCCATTACCCCTCTTAACATATCAAGTACTGAAGCTGCCACAATTCCACCACTACAGTCAATTTATTTCCACATTGTGCAAGAGACAATTTTAGATGATGTTACCAGGGTGAACCTTTAGATGAAAGATTAGTAGAGGCACAAAAAGATGTTCTCCCAAAAGCTCCTGATTGTTACCTAACTCCCCTTGCAGGTGCCTGCCCCTGCCTGTCTTTTATGCTGCCCTATGCTTGTGCACATCAGAGTCTGTATAGTGCCCTTTTTCTCTGGGACCAGCACAAGATGAAGCAGGAGGAAAAGCTTGATTCCTTTGGGGCATAGGTAGAACGATGAGCTTTACGTGTAGAAACATTCTCATGTGGTTTTCCCTTTGTCTTTCCAGAAACTTGTTCGTGTGGATTTATTTGGAGATCCCAGAGAGGTAGGAATATTTGTTTTCTTGAACACAGATTTTTATTCTTCATACCTCCAATTTACAATGAAAAAATTTGGGGGATTATAGCTAAATCGTATGGATATATTGCTGAATCCTAGAGAGGGCCATGACTTGCCAGGTTAACAGAATTAGTAAGATGAAATAATAAACTGAAATGTACTACTAATTCCCAGTCTTGTGCTCTTGGTCAGCAAATGTGTGTACTCTGCATTTATCTACCTTTTTAAATTGTCATTTCCTGCTTTGCAAAAGCTCTTGTGAAAAAGAATTAATTATAATTTTCTCTTATTGGGAGTTCGAGATAACTAAATAAGGAACACAGAATCATTCAATGACCCCAAACTCCTGGGATGGCAGAGGTCTAATTTCCTTTCCAAGGGAGGAGGCTATGATTTCAACTCTCCTCACAGCATCCCAGATACCTAAAGAAATCTCTCATTTGCTCACCCTCTGCAGCACTTAAAGAAGAAAGAGAAAGTGCTCAATGGGGACAGAATTGACTAATTGTGTGAATGTAAACATCAATGTCAGGGATAGACTGAGTATGTGTACTAATCCACTTTCCTGTCACTGGGACAAAATACTTGGCACCCACAGCTTAAAGGAGGACAAGCTTAAATTGGTTCACAGTTTCAGTCTATTAGAGTCAGTCTGTTAGACACTGACTCCAACACAGAAATGCCACAGCAGAATGGCCCGGGGTGGAGTGCTCTTCAACACGTGTAGCCAGGAAGCAGAAAGACAAAAGTGTATACTGAATGGCAATTCACCCTTTCAACTCCTTTCTTAATGTCCTGGCCCCAGCTACAAATGAGACTTTTGGGGGATTTTCATAACAAGTTGATGATATGGAATCCAACTGTAATATAGCAAATGAACTAGTTCTCAGGAAACCTGGAGGTACAGTGTTGTAAGAAGAGCTAGTGGAATTTAAAATGCCTTGCTGAAGAAGACCTGTGTGTTTATGCAGGAGGGTGTAGGGGGTTCACAGTGAGGATTTCATAGGAGGTGGGATGAATAGATCACTGAAAGAACTTGATTAGTGATTCAGCACCTTATGGGTGCTGCTCAGAGGGCCCTGAGCAGAGCAGTGACATATATTAGATTTACAACAGACTCTGACTGTGATTTGCACTGAAGTGCAGGAAAGAATCAGGGCAAGTGTAGAGACCAGGGACTGGAATGGGGAAATGCATGGAACCAGGCCAGTCAAAGGATCTTGGTTGAATACATTAGGACTGGAACAGTGAGGAGGCGACATGTGCATGGAGTCTGGATGTATCTCAAGGAAGAAAGAAGTGGACTAGCTGATGAACAGGATGTGCAATGTGAGGAAAAGATGTTCCTGATATTTGAGACATGAGAAAAACCTTGCCTCAAGTGCAGTCACCAGTGTCCATGTGTAGATAGTGGCTGTTAATATGGTTTTCATTGTGGTTGATTGCAGTGATCTTCCATGCATGCTTTCCCACTGAGACTATCATTGCTTGTCTTCTACACTTTTACTATTTACTGCATCTTCTTTTTCTCCACCTTTATACTGTGAATAATGTGACAAGTCTAGACCTTCTAAACCTAAGGTAGAACATATCATGTTCCACCTTAAAAGTCTGATCTTACTTACAAGACAAATTGACTTTCTTCCTTCTTTGCAATTCCTAAACATACGTGAGGTTCAAGGATGTGCAACATATTATGCAGAAGACGTGCTCTACCACCTGACAATCTTACTTGCCCCTGCTCTGAATCATTCTCCCAAGCTCAGTGCTCCTTGACAGTCTGGAGTTTAGCTCTGCACAATGACTCCTTGTCCTTTTGCTCAGGCATTTTCCACTTTTGAGATATCCTTCCATGTTTTCTTCACTTGGCCATAGATTTCATCCCCATCTTCCTCTGTGCCTGGCAAACACATGCTTCCAGGGCCTAGTTGTAAATCATCTTTCAGATGAGCTGCTGAGCACCTCTTGCTGTTTCCAGAGCAGCCCTTACTGATTACACAGTCTTTCTATTGTAGCATAGCTGTAACCAGAGCCTGTTCTGTATTGACACACTATTACAGTAGGATTTGGCCCTTGTCGTGATCTTTTCTTGCTGTCAAATAGGGAACTAAGTTGTATTTAGGCAGGTGGAATGAAAGGCACAGAATCTGAAGCTTTATAGACCAATAAACCTGTAGAGCTGGTTCTAAATAATCTGGGATACTTTAATGTTGAACTCATTTACTTGTCAAAATGTGTTTGTTACCGCAAATCATTACTTTCAACACTCATATGATCATTTACAAAATATGTACAGAGTGCTGAAAAATCAGAGTAGCATCATGTCCATGTATCCCTGTGAAGTTAAAGGAAAAAATCTACTGTCCCATTTCTCATGCAATGAGGTGTCTTTTTTGGCATCTCTGAAGTGCTCTATTTTGGCAGCACTGCTTCTATTAGTGTTTAACATGGCTCTCAAACAGTACTGAAATTCTATCCATTGTTGCTAAGCACAAAAGACTAGTTGCTTTATGGAGAAAGACAACAGATAGTTTTGCTTCAATTTTAACTTGTGAAATTCTTCCCCTTGATTTCCATTTAGTGAGTCAATGGAACTGTCAGTCCAAAATAAGAAAAGATTTCCCAAACTCTCTATGAAGCCATTCTGGAAAGTAATAACATAATATCAGTAGTATGTGAGACAGCTGTACCCAAGTTGTTAAAGCAGCTAAATCAGTGTACTCACGAGATGGAAAATTTATAACAAGTGTAGTACATTGTATTGTTATGATCATAAGTGCAAAAATTTAAAAGTATAATACAAACAGTCACAAGAATTCGTGGTGTTTCCCAGGTAGTGTACTACCATAAATTTTACATGCAACTATAAATTTTACCTTAAGTTTTACATACAACACAAAGTTTGTGTTATATAATAAATCTTTCCATAAGTACCTAAAAACAAAACAAAAGTGATCATAATGAAACAGAGGTCCCTGGGTACCGTGGGAAAATTATCCAGTGTATCCAGTTTATTATCCAATTATTTCACATTTGGAAATTTATCCAGTTTTCAGTAATTCATCGTTCATTGTGATTTTATATGCATAACTATTTCAAAGCACCAGAATTGACTTAATGAGTATTGTAATAACAGGTATTTTAATTTGAGTGATAATTCCCCTTCTCCTCTCCCACCAGCATCACTTCACCACGACTAACTCCTCAAATTTCTCCCCTTGGTGTCTTATGGATGTGACCCTGTGTTGCTCAGGCTACTACCAGGGGAGATGTTGGTTATGGTCACATCCTCAAATAGACAGAGAGAGGAACATGTGTGTTATCACAGGCAGAATAATGATTGGCATTATCCTGTGCTTCCCAGAACTATCCTTTTTTGCCCACTGTTGTTGATGGTGAGCTGCTGCCCAAGGGACCTGAAGAGGTTCTGACTGAAAAGAATTTCAACACTGTTCCCTATATAGTAGGATTCAACAAGCAAGAGTTTGGCTGGATCATGCCAATGGTGAGTATGTACAGGCTTCTTGGAGAGTTGCACCCTCTCCACCTATTCAGTCATCTCCTGGGTGCTGCAGCCTTAACAAACTTTTCCTAAAACAAATTTTGATTATATTCCCGTGACATGATGAAATATCCAGAATAAAGAGATAATTGTGTATTTGGGCAAACTGAGGGATTCCAGAGTTGAAGAAGTTGGGGAGCCAAGACACTGTATGTGGGGAACAACAACTTCTACTTTGGTCATGTTAGGTAGGATGTGAGTTACGTTTCTCAGTACAGAGATTTGAAGAGATGAGAGTTCTGAAATTCTCAGTTCAGAGAAATCTCATCATTACACCAAATTCAAAGGTGATTTTGTGTTCATCAGTCATTTAGATCTATGCATTCTGGATATAAGTTCATTTTTTCATCAATCCTATCAAAGTCATAAAAGATCCAGGAATATCAGATTCCAACATAGAAGTTTCATTCTATATTGGTTTGGTTCATTTCCCAATATTTCATGATTGCTCATAAAGGCTTAACCATTCTATCAACAGGTGATGGGAAACCCAATCCCTGAAGGCAAGCTGGACCAGGAGACGGCCACATCGCTCCTGTGGAAGTTGTATCCCTTTGCTGTAAGCTGGTTGGGAATTGTGGGAATAGAACAACAAAGCAGAATTAGAGACTTGCACAAAGTTACAGAGCAATTCAGTGGCCTGAAATCTGCATTTGGGCCCATTTTTCTGCCTTTCCCACTTACCTACTCAGAGAGGCTTTGCACGGGGTTCAAGACTTTCACCATCAAAAAGATCATGTTGACTGACTGGAAAATCTGCATTACTTACCACATTGCGGGTTGTCATTTTCTTAATATATTTCAGAATGTTCCTGAGGAACTGACACCAGTGGCCACTGAGAAGTATTTGGGAGGGACAGATGACCTTGCCCAAAAGAGAGAGCTGTTCTTGGACTTAATAGGAGATTTGATGTTTGGTGTCCCATCTGTGATTCTTGCCCGTGGCCATAGAGGTGAGTCCTGGAAAACAGATGCTCAAGCACCAGCTTTGGTCTCAGAGCTTCCTAACTCCTATTTAGACAGATGATGAACTTTTAGGGGTTCAAGATTGAAAGACTGATTCCTTTTCGCCTGAGGACAGGGACCTGTTTCATTCTGTTTCTGTCAGGAGTGGACTGAGAAAGCGTCTATATACAAATTGTTAGTTTGTGAAGTAAACCTAGTAAATATCAGAAGGGATATATGAGAAAATAATACAGGAGAGAGATGGAAGATAAAATTGGTGCCAGACAATCATTTGCCTGTCATGCAGAACCAGAGCTGGAGTGCTGTCAAAACAAAGAAAAAGACATGTATTGGGGTTGCTCTGTCTGCACAGCAAGGAGCTGGGAAGTCATCTAACAGCACCCATATATCATAGGTTGAAGGCTCTTCCAAGTTGTTAATTGTATGAGATTTGATCTCCAGGAAGCATGGGACATTTGACTTAAGTGGTCATATAAAAGATGGAGAATATACGCTACTGATGCTGACCATAAGATCTAAGCTGACCCGCCCAGAATCATAGTTATAAATGAGGCATCAGCAGCATCTATTACAGGGCCTTTTTCCTGGAGGTTAGTGTGATATTTCAGACGAGAAGTCCAATACTGCAATATGGGTCTGAACTGTGAACACAACAATCTCCTTAATTACTAGATATTCATTATAGTGGGAAGCCTTCATCTTTGTTTCTCAGATATGTAATTATAGGACAGTCACCTATTTAAAAAATTTGCAGTTGAACTGAAGAAGAAACAAACTTCCACCTGTCAGAGATTTAGTGTCCTTTCAATATCATCTTCTTCTGTCATTCATATCAACCTAAGTCATAACTGCTTTTCCCTCTGGTTTTGTGAGTTTTGTTTTATACTCACACACACATGTTAATATGCAACATTTGTCTTCCTCTATCTGTGTTATTTTCCTTACAGTGTTCTGCTGTTTCATTCATGTTTCCCAAATGACAGAGCTTCTCTTGGTAAGCCGAGTTGCTGTAATACTGCATGGGTGTTGTCTACTATTCTGCTGTGAGACACAGGTTGATTTTGTGACCTAACCTCCTTGAATAGAGCTGCAGTGAAGATGGGGGTACAGACATTGCTTCAGTAAACTCATGTCAAATACTTTGATTAGATATCAAGCAATAGGATTATTGGGTCATACAGTAATTCCAGTTTTAGTTATCTGAAAAATCTCTGGATTATTTTACATTTGCAACATGATGTAAAAGTATTCTCTTTTTCCACAACCTTGCCAACACATTTTTCTTTTTTTTTATTTTTGATAAAATCCTTTCTGCCTAGGGTAAGATAATATCTTATTGCAATTTTCCCTTCATTTTCCCAATTACTAATGATACTAAGAATTTAAAAAATACATTTTTTGCCATTTTCTGGTCTTATTTTAAGAAATATTGATTCAGCTCCTTTCCTTTTTTAATTAAGTTTTTTCTTGGTTTCTTTTCTTTCATTGAGAATTTTGAACTTCTTTTGCAGTTTGTGTAATAAACATGTGTATGGATTGCATAGTTTTTTCAAAATTTTAGGTGTTCTCTGTATACTGTTAATTTTTTTCTTCCTTTGAAGCAACTTTTTGTTTGAGATAATTCAATTAATTTCTTTTCCAATTGCATTTCTTCTACTTTTGGAGTTGAATCCAAAAATAATTTGCCCAGACCATTGCAATGTAATTTTCCTCTTGATTTTTGTATGATTATGTTTGAGTTTCCGATTGTATGCACTAATATTTAGTTCCTATTTGTTTGATTTTATATGTTAGCACATAATAGTCAAGTTTCATCTTTATGCACTTAGGAATCCAGTTTTTCCTGAGAGACTTTTTAAAGAAACTACATTTCTCTTTGGATAGCCTCAGAACATTTGTCAAAAATCAGTTGACCATCTATGTATAGTTAGCTTTCTTGGTTCTGAATCCAATGGTTTGGGCAGTTGGTGTGTGTGTGTGTGTGTGTGTGTGTGTGTGTATCTATAGTCAATACTGTGCAGTTTTAATTATTATTATTGTGTACTGTTTTTTGGAAATCAGGCAGTATGCAAACCTCCAATTTTGCCAATTTTGTTCTTTATGTTCATGATTGACGTGATGAATTGAGATTTTTAAATTTCATACGTTTTTGACAATTTTATATACTCCTGAAGGATAATATTGGAATTTGGAGGTTTTCATCTAACTAGCAGATTGCTGTGAATACTGTGAAAGAATATTTATTTTTTCAATCCATGTGCATTGAATGTTTCTCCACCTGTTTTTGTTCATTTTTAACTTTCATTATTATTTTACCTTTTTCAATGTATTGTTATCACCTCATCCCATTAAATTTATTCCTAGCTATTTTTATTCTGTATGTAGTGTAAATGATATTTACACAATTTCATTTGTAGATAGTTTATAGTTAGAACATAAAATGCTACTGTATATTCATTTTGCATATTCATTTTGTATTCTCCAACTTTACTATATTCATTTATTTGTCCTAACCAATTACAGTGCAGTTTATAGGCTTTTGTAGCTATAATTATTATGTCATCAGCAAAGTGATAGCTTCAGTTTTTCCTGTTAGAACATCTTAATTTTTTTTTCTTGCCTAATTGTTTTAGCAAGGATTTCCAATGCAGAGGTGGTAAAAACAATCACCTTTGTCTTGTTCCAGATTTTATGAGAAAAGTTTTAAATTATTTCACATTAGAGAATAATATGATCAGAGTGCTTCTCAGATTTTGCCTTTTTTGTGCTGAGACACATTTTTTACCCTTAATTTTATAATATTTTTAACATGAAAGCAGTGGGTTTTCTTCTATTTCTTTTCCTACATCTGAGATGACCCATGTTTTTGTCTTTCATTTTGGAATGTAACATAGCACAATTTTTGTACAGAAGTGGCAAATCCTACTTTATTTTGGTGGATTAATCTTGTAATGCTTTTTTGAACTCAATTTTCTAGCATTTTTTAAGATTTTTACATCTATGTTCATGAAGCATATTAGACTCTAACTTTTTTTGTAAAATAGTTGTCTTATGTAAGTAGAAGTGTAACAGTGACATAAAATGCTTTTCAATTATCCTCTTAATTGCATTTGAGGAATCAACTGAGAAGAACTGGTATTGTTTCTTGAAATTTTGACCTAATGCATCAGTTAAGCCAACAGGACCTGGATTTTGCTTTGGTAATTTTTCTTACTGATTATATTTACTTACTAGTTTTTAAATCACTGACTTAAAGAAAAAATAGTCTGGGTTGATTGAAAAACAAGTAAGTAAATATAATCAAAGAGAAAAATTAACAAAGAAAAATCCCTGACTCTGTATTTTTATAGTGCCAATTTTAATGTGTATTTTCATTTGTATATTACTTCACTGTTCTTTTTTTGGTTAGTGTGGCTAAATGTCAGTTTTGTTTATATTATGAAGTCTCCAACTGTTAATCTTTTAAACATTTTTATCATCTTTTGTGCTTTTCCCTGTGATATTCATTGTTTCATTTCTACTAGTAAATTTGGTCCTGGTTTGTTGTTTTGTTAGTTCAATGGAGCATGGCTTCAGGTTGCTTATATGATTTCTTTCTTGTTTGTAGATGTAGGTGTTTTTGATATATGGTTTTATCTTAGAACTACTTTGTTGTATGTCGTGGTTTTTGGTATTCTATGCTTTCCTTTTCATTGATCTGAAAATGTTTTTAAATTTCTACATTAATATTTTTTGTTGACTCATTGGTCGTTCTGATGGGTATTGCTTTACTTTCATGAATTTGTGAATTTTTCCAAAATTGCTATTTTAATTCCAGTGTAGTTCAAAAAGATGCTGGTTATACCATATTTATTAAATTAGGAGGTGATTGTTTCGTATGCAAATATGTAATTTATTCTGGAGAATATTTTGTTTGTCAGAAGTATGTGTTGTTTGTGTTGGATTGGATATTCTACATATTTCTGTTAGGACCATATTTTACATAGTGCTGTTTATGTCCAGTATTTCTTTATGAATATACTATCTGGATGATCTCTCCATTGTTAAAAATCGGATATTGAGGTCCCCTACTATTACTGTATGATAATCTGTTGCTCAGATTCTTTAACATTTGCTTTATTCATGTAGGTGCTCAGATGTTGGATGTGAAAAGAATTAAAATTATTATAGCCTCTTATTGACTTTACTTTCTTGTCAAAATGTCATTATTTTTCTTTCTAGTGATTTTTTATTACAGTATATTGTCCATTATAACTAAATACCATCTTTCCCCTTCAGTTTCCATTTTGATCTAATAAAACATTCAGTCTTTCACTTTGAAACTCTGTGTGTATTAAAAGGTATGATACATCTTGTATACTGAAAGAACATCATAAATACTCATGTCTTTTTAACACTCCATTCAGTCAATTTGTGTCATTTTATTAGAGAATTTAATTAAAATAGTCAAGGTAATTGTTGAGTTTATAAATTCTGTATCCTTATGAGTTAATTACTGGTTATTTTGTAAATATTATTTTCCTTTGTTCCACTCCTATTCTCGCTATGCAGTTCAAGCTGGCCTTGAGCTCACTTTGTAGCCCAGGCTGGTCTCGAACTTGCAACAATCCTCCTACCTCAGCCTCCATGCCTGGGATTACAGGCATGAGCCACCACACCCTAAATTTACATGATTTTTGGAGACAATTTTTTTTGATTATATTTGATGATGTAAGTACTTTTGTAAAGTTTTTTTTTTCCTTTTAATTCTTAAGGTGGGATAAAATTCTTTTATATATTGTCATTCTAGTCTGATAGCATTCAAAATGTGGTCCTCAGTTATTCTTAAAATGAGTTTTGCCCTTTCATGTGTTCCATTTTATTAGTTAGTGTATTTTATTATAGTTGAGAGAACTTTGCTTAGCGATTTTTTTAAGGGGCATGTAGAGGGAAAGAATTGATAAGTTCTTGCTTGTTTGGAGAAGTTCCCTCCCCATTTCTGAAAGAT